TTTTGAGAAAATTTGGAAGCTCCAACTGAAATGCAAAATGCAAATGCAAAATGAAATGCAAAAATTTGTCCTCAGGAGGGATTGAATCCTTGGACCACTTCCTCACCACATTTTGGCCTTCTCAGGGCCGTTCAGCGAAAACGGACCTTGGTTCTGTAGTCCACGCATGAAATCCTATAAGCATGCAAAAAACCGTTTTGAAAAAGGCCGCCTTGCCCTGAACGACCTCCCTTGTAAGTTTTCCGTTCCGAATTTGGTTTTTTGAAGTGACCGTTAGGCCATGGTTTATATTCGAAGTAAAAAATCTTCTCTAAGTCCTTGTTGTTGCATAAATCGTTATCATGTTCTTTTCTGGCCCATTCAAGGGTTTCAGTGTATTTGCTTAAGAACTAGGTCGAATTTCAGACCACACAAAAAGGGAGTCCAAGCAAGGAAGGAGCCTTTTCTTAGAATACAAATTACTCTTAAGGAGGCAATATTAGTCAGGACTGCACCAAGTTTAGGGTTGCGTTTTTTTTTACATGACCCAACGCTTTTGCTTCAGAACAATAGGACTGAGTCTCTATGAGATAGAGGATAACACCCAGTTTTGAAGCAAAAACCAAAAAAGAATCAAAAAGTGAACGGCGCACGTTTTGGTAACCTCAAAGTGAGTTTCCTAAGGTCGCTGAAAAGTACATTGTCTACTGCTAGGTAGTTTATTTCTTTTGGTGAAAGAGTTTGAGGAGCTTGCCGATTTGGCTATCATGTAGCAATGATAAGCCATTAATTGGAAATGCTGACAATTCGATGCTCCATGATAGTCTTGTCCAAAAGCCCAATGTTCAATAAAACCCAATGTCGGCGCTCCGGGCCAACCGCCTGTTCGCAGGGGGTCGTATTTGTGATTTGGGGGGTCGTATTGAGGTCCACTCTAAGAGGTGGATGTAAAAATTTTGAAAAGTGCAGGTTGAGGCTGCTTGCTGCTTTTTCGTGTTCCGGTACTTAACCCATTCGCGACCGCGCAGGATTGCGCAATAGCAGCAGCGTCAGGAGATTTTTCTTCAATAAAATTCGAGTGGAGGGAGATTTCCTCTGCCCAGGGCTGGCGTAGATGAGCGAGGGTATGAAGATTCTTTTCATGGAAGAAAACTTTCCAAATTCCATTTCAAGCCCTGCAGCCACAGTAATGCCATTGTCCCGAGTGAGAGCTTTGTCAGCCACCGGTGGCTGACATTGTCACGAATGGGTTAATGAAATTCACCCTAATTAGTGACGATTGTTTGTGATCCGGAATATTTGTTGTCAGTAGCATGACGTACACGGAGCAGCAGCCTGTAACCATTCGTCGCCGCAAACAATGTTACGCCTCCTTATGAAGCTAGGTGAAGCTACCTCAACAATGTAGATTTCGGCATACAGAAGGCCGGGTTAAAGCCGTACAAGTGGTGACGCGCCTCTTACCCCTGCTTGACTTTTATCTAAGGAACTTTATAGACTCGAATGTTTCATTTTCATCCTAGGAAGTTTATAGACTCTCTAGACTTTTACTGTAGACTTTAGACTATAGAAAAATCTTATCTTCTTGATTCGATTTTAGCCTTAATTGCGTTTGTCACGTGCAGCCTTCGAATCGTTGGTAACCTGGCGATAGTGGCGAAACCCAAAGGCCATGCAGGCACTATATTAGCTCCGGTACAGGCAAATGTTGGTGAATTTTGGTGAGTAGATTTCTAGCATAAAAGTGCTTCTTTTCTGCTTGCTGTGCCAGTTCTATTTTGAGGTTCTCAGAACCCGATGCTATTCATCGTCACTTATAAATAATTCAGTTCGATATTTAGGTGTGCAGCAGAAAAGCTTGGCGAGAAACTGCCAATCGAATATGGTGAATTCACACGCCTCAGTGATGGAAAGGTAACCTATATGTATATAGTGCTTCAGCATACAAGCACATTTACCTAACTAAGTGAGGGTTAAAAGGAGGGAATAATTCGTAGCTCTAGGTTGAGAAGTGTGCTAGCACCCAAAATTGACTATTGCTCTACTCGGTGATCGACTCTGTCCATAACTGCCT